CTGGAAGAAACTTACTTTTTCTTTTTTAAATTTGATAGTATCTCACTGTGTGGCTTTGGCTGGTCTGGGTCTTGTTCAGGTTGGCTTCAAACTCACAGAGATCTGCTTGTCTCTGATTCCAGAATGCCAGGATTAAAGGTGTGAGCCATCACATCCAGCTTGACAATTTTTTTTTTTTGTTTTTTTGAGGCAGGGTTTCTCTGTGGCTTTGGAGGCTGTCCTGGAACTAGCTTTTGTTAGTCTTAAACTCACAGAGATTCACCTGCCTCTGCCTCCCGAGTGCTGGGATTAAAGGCGTGTGCCACCAACACCTGGCTCCACACACATTTAAAGAGATCATTGTTCAGGTTCTGCAGTTAGGAGCACTTCCAGAGGACTAGACTTAGACTCCCCAAACCTGAGTCTGGAGGCTCACAACTATGTGTAACTCAGCTCCAGGGTATTTGACACTGTCTTCTGGCCTCCATAGGCAACTGTCCACATATGGCACACACATACAATCAATCAAATCTGCCAAAAATAAATTTTCAGTGTGATACAATCTATTACTGTCTGTCTTAGAGTTTTATTACTATGAAGAGACACCATGACCACAGCAACTCTTATAAAGGAAAACATTTCATTGAAGCTGGCTTACAGTTTCAGAGGTTTAGTTCATCATTATTGTCATGGTGAGAACCATGGCATCATGTAGGCAGGCATGGTGCTGGAGAAGGAGCTGAGAGTTCTACATCTTGATCCTCAGGCAACAGGAAGTGAACTGTGTATCACATTGGGCATAGCTTGAGCATATAAGACCTCTAAGTCTGCCTCCACAGTGACACACATCCTCCAACAGGGCCCGGGGGTTGGGGGTGGGGAAGGGGGCATACCTATTCAAAGTACCACACCATCTTTATATCATAATTCCTTTTAATGCTCAAATTCTTCCACTTTGGCTAATGAGAGGCTTCTCAAGAGGTGCCTGTGTGCTTTTTACTTGGTCTCATCAACTTCTTATCAATCTTCTCTCTTTCTCAAATATGTGCTGTTATTCATTAAGACTGAAAGTGGGCTCTATTTGTTCCAACTTTTAAAAATATGGGTGTTTTGCCTGCTTCTGTCTGTGCACAACTTGTATACAAAAAGAGGTGTTGGATCCTGTTACAGATGGCTATGAACTGTTGTGTGGGTGTTGGGAATCAAACCCAGGTCCCAGTGCTCTTATCCCCTAAACCCTTTCTCATTGGATCAACTTCTGTTTGACCTACATAGTTTTGATGTAGGTCATTATTCAAAAATTTTAAATTATCCTCCAGTATTTAAAATTATGGAGCATCTTGTGTAAAACTCCATGTTCCTGGCTTCTCCTAAAACACCAGAAAATCTGACACACTGGGCTATATTCCCATCAAGTACAACTGGCAGAGGATGAATAGCCTTGGTGCCTTTGAATTAATTCACACTGCCAGAGACTGTCATAGGATTTCACTGAAGCGCCAAGCTTTATCACCAGTTTTCACTTCTTCTCTTACTGCCATGTTCTTTTGAAGGCTGGGGAAAAAATGAAAGAGAAAGAAGAAGGGAGTGCAGAGAGGAAAGGAAGGAGGAGGTACAATGGATAGAGAGGGCTTTGTATTACTGGAAAATGGGAGAGCACCATTTTCTTTTTGTAGAATCAAAGATTATCTCTTTAATAATATGATCTGCATTGGAAGAACATAACATAAGCAAGATCTGCAATCATAAAGCAAACCTTGCCACTCATTTATAGACTATAAGAAACCCCCTGAAGCTGGGCATTGGTGGCGCACACCTTTAATTCCACCACTCGGGAGGCAGAGGCAGGCAGATCACTGTGAGTTTGAGACCAACCTGGTCTACAAGAGCTAGTTCCAGGACAGGCACCAAACCTCCACAGAGAAAAACTTAAAACAACAACAACAACAAAAACCAAAACAGAAACCACCTGAAACCAGGCACACTTATTTATATCTGCAATTTCAGCTACTTTAGAGGCTAGAGGACTGAGTTTGAGGCTTGACTAGCCAGGGAACATAGCAAGATCCTAGGGGAGGGGGCAGACAAAAAACCCAAAAGCAGCCATCTGTTTAAATATTTGTTTATGGAGCTAGGTGGAGTAGCATACTTCTGCAGTCTTAGTGCTTGGAAGGTTGAGGCAGAAGAATCCAGAGTCAACTTTGACAACAAAGTGAGTTCAAGGCTAGCCTCAGCTACATGAGACTGCTTATAAAAACAGGTGAAGCTTTGTGTGTTTGGCAAACAATTGTGTTAAGATATAGAACATCCGAATGGTGGTGTACATCCGTAATCCCAGCTCTGGGAAGGATGAAGCAGGAGGATCACAGTGGTTAATAGCTCTTGTTATTCTTGTAGAGGACCTGGGTCCAGTCCCAGCGCTCCAGTTCCAGAGGTCAATCACCCTCTTTTGGCCTCTCTAAGCACTCACTATACATGTAGCCTAAATACTAATACACATAAAACAAAATAAATATTTTTAAAAGATCTAAAAAAGAAACACAACAACCTTAAAACAATGAAAGCAACAACAAAAGCCAGAGTAAAACAAGCTACAAAAAAGATTCAGTGAACCCTGCCTGAAAAGCACATGCATTTTCTGGCTTTAGTGACCTCACTTACATTGTATCTTTCTTGGCAGTAAGAGATGAGCGGTTTTCAAGTAGACTGCTAAGACAATTTCTTCTTCTAGTCTCTGAATTCAGGTCTCAATGGATAATCTCTTTTTTTCTGTTTTACCACCCTAAAATGTCCTCTACACGCACTAGTAGGGAATCAGGCCGCGTGATGGGTGGAGATTCCTTCAGGGTGAGTACTCTTACCCATCTAGGCAAAGCTATCACCTCGTGTTCTGGTCTCCTAATTTTTTGGGAGTTGGAGGTATTGGTATTTTATGTAAGAGGACTATCTTTACATATATCAATACCTGAATATTTGTTTACACTAGACTATCATGACAAGTTGGCAATAATTGGAGGTTGAACTGAAGAATGAGAACCTTCCGGTTAGACTTGGGACAATGAAGTCTGTAATTACAAACGAACGATGCAATTTTTAAAAATGAAAAACGGGTAGAGAAAAGCCCCACAAGGTCATAGGGGTGCTGTTTCGCTAGTTGTTTAATGGCTTAGTCACCCGCTTCCAGGAGGAAGGGAATAGAAACTGTTGGATCTGAAACTACTGGATTCAGAGCGTTAAAGAATTCTTAGAGGAGGCGATCTTTAGAAGAGCTTAGTGTTCAAGGGAGGTAGAAAAGCCGTTGTTCGTGTAAGAAAATGAAGAGTGAAAGAAAAAAAGTAGACCCCTTGCCGTGCCATTGTTCCACAATGCCGTGACTCGGATTCGAACCGAGGTTGCTGCGGCCACAACGCAGAGTACTAACCACTATACGATCACGGCGAGCTACCGGGGACCTGTAAGATTCTTCTTCTGAATATTCTCTTCAATACTCATAGGCCATCCCACTTCCTGCGTCACTAAATGACCCATTTATTGGGCGGGACTCCAATCTATGGCCTGAGAATGCGCAGGCGCATTGCGCTTCCTCCGCCTACGCGACTTTTTGGTTCTTTGGTCCTGAGCAAAGAGTTCGCTTGTGGCAGGTGTAGGGGTTGGCAGGACCTCTTGAGCACCCGGGGACCCGAGCTGACTGTCTTGGGGAGCCGGTCTCCGGTGGCCTGGACACTTGCCAGCCGGCTCTGGAGAGTTCCCGAGCCTTCGGGGGCGTTCCCTATTGGATCTCCTTACTGCTGATCCTCCCCAGCGCCCAGCAGTGACCCATTACGACCTTCTCGGAAGGTACAAAAGCCTTCAGTACAGGGTTTGACAGTGTAGTCGTAACCCAACGAATGTGAGTCAACCGCAACCCCGCCCGCCTCTTCCTTCCAGCCTCTCCCACTCCTGGATGCTCCCTCTCGGTTTTGCGCCCACCTCTGACCCCTCTGGGCGGCAGCTGGGACTCGGTCCGGTTTTTCTTCCTGTCCATCAACGCTCGCGCCCACGCGGCGCCTAGAATGCGACCGCTTCTACACTGGGCAATGTCTGTTTGCTGAACAGAATGTGACAGTAGTTTCTGACAAGTGATTGTAAAGTGGCCACTTTTTACCCTCTCCTGCGCAGCCGCTAGAGATCTCGCTAAACACCCACGAAAACCTTTCACCATTTCACGTACGAGGCTGCAGGACATTCGCCTGCCTTTCCTGCTCGCGTGGCTTTCAGTGTGGTTTCCCGCCCCCTCCGACCGGTGCCCATTCACTCAACAGGTTCTTGGGGAGCGTTCGCTATCGGCCCAGCCAGTCCCCACAGCGCTGTGGGGCGGGCAGGTCCCAAAGATGACCTCGGGAGGGAACCACAATGCCTTTTCATGACTGGGCACGCTACATTGTCTTTGCACATTACATCGCGGCTTGACAGAGTCCCAGCCTACTTTAAGAGCTGTCTCAGGGGTCACTCCCTCCTGCAGAACCTCTTCACTCTGGCATCTACTGCAGTGCTTTGATGGAAGTAAAAAGCCAAAGCTGCATAGGAAACTAAGAAAAACCAACGTATTTTTATGAAAAAACAGACATTTATGTTACACTTATCAGGCATACGTGTTCTCTGGTCTTTGGGGTGCATCCATGTCTTTGGGGTGCATCCATGACAAACCTTTGTATTGTGGCAGTCCACACAGAACTGTGTAAATGCCGTTCTTAACTGTCACTGGAGTCTTGAGATCCCTTTTCCAGAATGTTAGGTCAGGATTAAAATGGAATAGAACAACAAAACATAGCTCCCTTGCCGTGCCATTGTTCCACAATGCCGTGACTCGGATTCGAACCGAGGTTGCTGCGGCCACAACGCAGAGTACTAACCACTATACGATCACGGCGAGCTACCGGGAAGCTAGGGTCAGGGATCCTAGTTTGATCTCTTCTCCATTGGACGCCCCTCCCCCTTCTGACGTCATTGGTTAGCTGACGCTTGTTTCTGCCTATCAACGGGACTCCGCACATGAACGGTGTGCGCAGGCGCTTTGGTTCCCCTTGGTTCCCCTGGCTGAGTCCGCGCCCTGGCGGAGTGAATCCCTCGCTTCGCAGCAGTTTTAACAGCAAGGGACTGGGCCTTTTTCATTTTAATTTTTTGAGTCAGTGTCTCATTCCATCCAGGATAGACTCGAACTCGAGATATTCCCTTCGCCACGTCCCGAGTTTTAGTTTCCTAGGCGCTACCCCTCTGGACTTGCCAGGCCCTTTCATTTCCTGTCTTTTATGTAAGGTGTTTCCAAAGCCAAGCAGAAAGTCGAGAAATCCGTAGGTCCTCGTTACGGTCAGCTGGGGACTCAGAAGGACAACAGCACAGGGATGGCAGGACATCCTCCCTATCTCAAGGACTCCTCTGGAAAGACGCTACAATGTGGCGTTCCGGTAGCTCGCCGTGATCGTATAGTGGTTAGTACTCTGCGTTGTGGCCGCAGCAACCTCGGTTCGAATCCGAGTCACGGCATTGTGGAACAATGGCACGGCAAGGACGCCTTTTTGGTGCCTCGTTGGTCACTTCCTGTTGGCGAAGTCGTTTGTAACGCCTGGTCTTTAAGTCTCATCTATCCCAAAGCTTGGTGTATTGAGTCTGGATTCACACTCAACTCTGACAGATTAAGGACGAGGTACTCTATTTCTTCATTTTGCCCCCGCCAATGGTTAAGCCATTTATGAGTCCGTTTAAAGCCTCACACGACTCTAAAGTTTCATCACGGGTGACTTAGGAATTATAGGAACAAGGCAAACATTAGGAGTTAGAGTGGGGAAGGTAGGAAAATATACCAAGCCACTTTTGGTTCAAGTATCGTGTGACAAATGAAAGATACCCCCGTACTTGAGGCACTGGATTTGTGGCATCTGTTGAGTGATAGCCTCGATAGCCTCGTGGGTGCTGGTGTTTTCTCCTGGAGCCTCCTCCTTCCAGCCTACCTCAGGCTAAAAGCAAAATGCACTTAATACTTTGTTTTATGTGGGACAAAACAAAAAACAGCCTCAACAGATTTAGATCTTTTTTTTTCTTTTCTTTTCTTTTCTTTTCTTTTCTGAGACAGGGTTTCTCTGTGGCTTTGGAGGCTGTCCTGGAACTAGCTCTAACTCGCAGACACCCACCTGCCTCTGCCTCCCGAGTGCTGGAATTAAAGGCGTGGGCCACCACCACCGGCCTCCTTTGATAGGCGAACTGGAAGTGAATTTTGGAGCTGACTCTTGGGTAGGTAATGACGGCTGTGTGACTGTCAAGAAAGGAATGAGAGAAGACCTAGAGGAGAAAGAATTTCTCCAGCTCTTCCCAGGGGGTCTGGGGTGGCAAGGCAAGTCGGCATACATTCCTGGGAAAGATGGACATTGTAGTGGGATTGTGCTTTTTTTTTAAATACCCACAATCCATCACGAACTACTTACTCCATAGTGCATAAAATCAAGACTTCATCGCACCCCCAAATAAAAAACAAACCCAAACCAAAATCAAACAAAACCACCCTTGCATGTTGTAATTTCCCTGGGTCTTCCAGGAGTTTACTGGATTTGGTGAGTTGAAAGCCACATAACAGGACAGCTTGCACCTTAAGAGTGTTCTAAACAGGACAGATCGAGGAGGAGATGAACCTGAACCCGTCAGGCTCTGCGTTAAGAGTTCTGCATCTAGGAAATCAGTGTCAGCAACAGCAAGTGAGCCAGTCAGGTCACCAGGACTGTGGCGGCTGCTCCTCGACCTGCTCGCTGTTTCTATCAACTGCACCCAGAATGGGGTGTGGGGTGTCACAAGCACACCGCCCTTGGGGAGACATAAACCTAAACCGTGCTTCACCCCCTCCTTCTAAGGTTCCAACATCAAACCAAAGTGCGACTCTACCACAGGTTCCCCAGGAGCCAGACGGTTGTTGGGTGTACTTACTTAGCCTGAGGGATTACTGGCAGGTGCCACACCTAGCACAGACATTCACTTAGATGGAGCCCCAGCCCTTCAATCAACCTCCCCAGCATAAACTGCATTGTCTCTGGAGACCTGAGGTCATGTCCCATCAGGGCAGAATGACATACGGGTGACCAGGAAGAGTGGCTGGAGTTTCAGGGAGAGTTCAGTGACCCTCCCCACCTCTTCCTTCTTTGAGAGAACAGTAACAGACTACTGGCTCAATCATGATGGCTTCTTGCAACCAGGCACAGCTGATCAAGATGGTGGCTATTTTACTTGGATGACCCAGGAGGAAGGAACTGTCACTCTGATATTATTTATGGGTATGAACTGTTTCATTTTCTCTGCCAATTAGGTCAAAGGCAGGAAAAGTTTAAAAGTCAAGCAAAGCCAAATTTTATTCAAAATGGACAATTTTATTAGAGTTTAAAAAAACAACAAAACAAAACAACAGCTTGCCCAGGGCAGGTGAGTTGTCAACTGCCCAGAGGAATAGAACAGAGGGCAGAAAGGGAAAAGCCATGCCACCGAGCAAGCACGGCTGTGCACAAGCCACTGAATGGCTGGCTTGTCCACCTCACCGTGGTTTTACAATGTAGACTCCTGGGGACAGCTGCTGTGGCTAATTTCCTCTGCTTACCTCCAGTGATGGTGTTCCTGGGATGGCGAAGCAGAGAGCTAGAGACCCTGAGAGCCTGGCTTGAGATGACCTCACCATGTCCGGTTCCCTGATCTCACTTTTTGAAACTTTTTTAATTCTACAAATGTTGTTACCACAATTCTCATTTCCAGCTTGAGGTCCAAGGTCTTTCCTAGGTTTGAGGGCCAACAAAGAAACTGGCGCTAAGAGCTCCTCCAGCATACACCCCAGCTCCAGCCATTTCCATTTGGGCTGGATTTCTTCAGGTTTCCAGCAGCAGACCCAGGTCTCCACCAGGAGGCGCTGCACCTCAAGAGGTTGGCTTGGGAAGAGGAGGCTGTTAGTATATTAGTTTGGGAGCCACATCAGACTTAATTGAGCCGACCCTCAGGGATTCTCTGGAAATTCCATATTCAAGTCCATCCTTCCCTTCCACTTTTCCTTCTTCCCCTCCTGCCATTCCTCAAACAAGACTTATTTTGTTCTTAAACTACAGAGTATGGTGGGAGCTACAAGGCTGGGTAAACACACTTTTTGCCCAGAGTGGGTGATCTTCAAGCTGCTGTTGTCACCTGAGATATGTGCATGTCAAGTGATTTCACAGACTCCTGCATTAGTTGGCCTGTTCCTTCTAGATCTTTCCACACTCATTAAAAAGAGGGCACAGGGAGTTTCCATGGGATATTTTTTCATGTCCCAAGGCGTGAAACCTTTTGCTGAGTCCACAAGATGGCAGAGAATGGTTTCCAATTCTGGAACTGACCAATTGGAAGGGATTTTCTGTCACAAGGTCAGTGAAGTAAACGTTTCAAAATGTCCAGGGGTGGGCACTGTAGCTCAGTGTTTTAGTGTGCTCAGCTTGTGTGAAACCCCGTATGCAGTCTTCAACACCCAAACAAAAGCGTAGTTACTGAGTCCTGACTTAACTCTGTTTTCCTGTTTTCTTACTTTTTCTGACTTCTTTTTGATGAACTGAACTTCTGGCCATGAGCTCACTATGTAGTACTTGTTATGGAGGAAGCTTCACTCTTAGACCCTGGCATCCATACCAAAAGAGTCTGGAATGTTATGGTGGAGGTTCTACCCAACCACCCCCCCAATCTCCCTCCAAACCTTGCTGTATCTCAGAAAGCCCACCAAATGATGACCCACTCCCACAGGGTATTTAAACTGCCTCCCAGAAAATAGACTTGTGGTTTTCCGGTCTCTCTTTCCTATCTCATTTCTGGGGGCCTAGAAGGCCATTTGGGAGTGTTGTAACCATTAAACGTGGGCTATTTCTAATTCGGTTTGATGTGATCTGATTTGGATTGCTACATCGGTGGAGAGGCTTATCCGGGTGCAGAAACTTTTCAGTATTTTCCCTCTCCTGACTTTTTTTTATTTGTTAGTGATACCATGTTTACACCCCCATGTGTTATAAACACCACAATACCTTAGTTTTTAAAAAGCAATTGGTAATGTTTTAAACAGAATTTAAAAACAAGAAAATGCCTTTAAAAATTACTCATGTATTTACCACTGGAATCTTTTGTGTAGTATCTACTTTGTTCTGATTCTGATATCCTTTTCCTTCTACTGAATGTTTCCCTCTGTTAACATTTCTTGTACTGCTGGTCTGTTGCTAAATCCCCTGCCCGCTGTGCTGAATGCCTGTAAAGGTCTCTTTTTTGGCCCTTAAAATTCTTTTACAACGTGTGTGTGTGTGTGTGTGTGTGTGTGTGTGTGTGTGTGTGTGTGTGAGAGAGAGAGAGAGAGAGAGAGACAGAGAGAGACAGAGAGAGAGACAGAGACAGAGAGACAGAGACAGAGAGTATGTGAGAGGACATTGGAGGCGTTAGTTCTCTCCCTTGGTCCTGTTGGCCAGGGTAATGGAACTCAGGTTGTCAGACCAGGCAGCAAGCACCTTTCATGGCTAAGTCATCTTGCTGGCCTGCAGCTGTTTTTGAAAAGAATTTCCCCTCTGTATTGAATAATTTACATATAAACTTCAGTACTTTAAAGATGTTGTCTCTATATTTTGCTTGCATTGTTTCTGATGAGAAAATTGCCAGAATTTTGATTTGTTCTTTCTCTGTATAAGATATCAATCTTTATCTCTTAAGCACTTTGAAAAGTTGTTTATTAAGCCGGGCGTTGGTGGCACACGCCTTTAATCCCAGCACCAGGGAGGCAGAGGCAGGCGGATCTCTGTGAGTTTGAGGCTAGCCTGGTCTACAGAGCTAGTTCCAGGACAGTCTTCAAAAACACTACAGAGAAACCCTGTCTCGAAAAACCAGAAAAAAAAAAAGAAAGAAAAGTTGTTTATTATTATTTGGTTTTATTTTTATTTTTGTAATTTTATTAAGATGTGCCTGTGTAAGTGTGTGTTGGTTATCTTTATTCTACTTGTAACTAGTTGAAATTCTTTTCAAACTAGAGTTTGGAAATGTAAACTTACTTGTTGAATTATTTTTCTTATCACTCTATTTTTCTGAACTTACACACATTTCCCCTCACATATATGACTGCTTAGTATTATCCTTAAAGTTTCTGTTGTGTGTGTGTGTGTGTGTGTATGTGTGTGTGTTTGCACATGCACACCATGACACAGTAGTGGATGTCAGAGGATGACATGCATGAGTCCTTGTCTGGGCGCGCCAGCTGACTCAGGTTCTTACCAGGGAAGGGGAGTGCGAATTGAGGAAACAAGGTAGAGTCAGGAGGGCATCAGGTAAATACTGAATCTGCCCAAGTTTATTGTTCAAGGTTTTTATTATACCTCATCAAAAGAGTGGGAGAAGGCAAAAGACTTCCTTTTCAATGACACAAGAACAGAGTAATTCTTCAATACGCAAATCATCAAGTAACTATATCCTCAGTTAAGTATTCTATTGTTTAGGCAGGACATGCAGCAACCACACATTAGGTCAAGCATCCTGTTGTATTTACATCTTAGGCCAGACATCTTTGTTCTTTTACCTTGGAGGAGCAAGGGTAGGTAAAAACTCTTTGACTGAAAACACACAATTCTGTGTGTTTCCACAAGTCCTGAAGATTAAACTTAGGTCATCAGTCTTGACAGGTAGTGC